ATATTTTCCGCTATTTATTTCAAAAACTGGAACAAAATAGTTACTTATGATACAATAATTCATACCATAGACAGCTACAGTGTTAATGTACAAGGGTTACAATACCTTGGATATAAAACATTTTGGTATTTTTAGGAAAAAACCTGAAACTATTTTGATTTCAGAGTGCCTGTACACTAATTGGTGAAGATTTGTCTTTATTTAGCTGCTGAAGTTAAATGGATGAAAACTTAATTATGTGAAACCCAGATAATATGTATAACATCTCAATGAAATTATGTAGACAGAATAATTGGCCTGATACACGGAGCGAGTAGTCCGCAGACAATCCATTACTTTCATCTGTGTGGGTTTGGGTGTGGTTTACAAAATAAGTGTCTTTATTGTCATGGAAACGCTAACTTAGTATTGAACGCACTGCTGTGTCACATCCGAGCTTTTATTTACAATATGGCAAAGTTTTAACTGTAAAAGCTTTTGTGATTAATGGAAGCAAACATTTAGATTCAGTTTACTTATATGTGATAAAAAATATATTTATATTAAGTGAGATCAGCAGAAACGCTACTGCCTCGGAAGTGTAGCGGTTTGTCCACGGAAGGCTACGGTAGTCGATTAGATAAAATAAGCAAACAATTAAGGTGTGGTCCCTGCTATCTCTCTCCATCACATTTGTAGGCTTCACTTTCATGTCCGTTAACCATCCAGGTGATGCCCAGGTAGAGGCCAGGTAAGGTCCAGGTACGTCAAAGATTCCCAACTCACCTGGTACAGGTAGCATGGCTAAGCAGACCCAGGCTCCCCAGGTAAACATCAGGTAAACACTGTCATTTGGTTTGTCTTAGGCTCCAGGAATAGCAACCCCTGTCACTTATAATCTAGCGAGATTATCAGTGTATTTAAGTGCTTGTTTGATGGAGCTAGGGATGTTTGAAAGTGAAAATATTATCCAACTCGTGTCTCCGGCGTGTCTATTGGGGCTAGCCAATGGCAGCGCCCGTATTGGAGACTGCGACTATATAATCCACTCCCTTTGGGCAGGGCCATACGGCTGCACCCTTCATCAGTCTGAGTGTCTTAGGCATGTTGTTGGATGGACACTTGTTTGTGGTCAGTCTAACATTCTCATTTCATCCATAGTCACGTTCAAAGATTTTCTATGGGGTGTATGCTTTTCTGCATGGCCAGACCAGAATTCTTTTGGCACCTGAGATATTTAAACTGAAGGTCAGTTCCAGTGGGTGTGGTTTACTGGACACCATAATCAAGTTGCAGTTTGATATCGGTGGATGCGGCCATATTGGGTGGTTCACACCTCATCCTGGTGAGTTGAATAGTGCTGAAGTACGGAAGAGGAACCACAAGTGCGCATGGCGATGTCCGAAACGTCCACTCTTGGATATTACGATCCGGCCCTAGCTCACTGGCATGTCCATCCCTGGTCAAAGGTTAGCAGTCGTTACTGTTTAGGTTGTCTTTAATGATGTTCACATTAGCTGTCATTTAGCTGTTCTGGATATTAGTAGTAGTTCTTCCAACTGCTTAAAAATTGATAACGCATAATAGACTTACTCAAGTCTGTAAAGAAGAACACATAATAGACTTACTCAAGTCAGTAAAGAAGAACACATGATAGACTTACTCAAGTCAGTAAAGAAGAAAACAACCATATAGACTAAATACCAGTCAAATGTTATGTGGGTAGGTGAAAATAGACCTCATACTTAGCTGAAGTGTGAATAAGGCTAAAAATCAATTATGTTTTCTCAGGGTTTATCAGGATATTTTGGGAAATGGATTCTGGGTCCTAATTGGGAAAATCATCAGTAAAATTACAAAAATTCAGAATTTTTTATTGTAAAATGAAATTCAGTTTTGAATTGTTTTATTACTTTAAAACACAAGTTTTGAACTAACTCAATGTAATTCAATAATTACCACAAAGGAATGACAAAATATAGCAAATTGGAAGTTTATGTGGGCATATTGGCAAAAACGAGTGCCTGTTTTTAGTTGGGAAACAATTTGTTTACATACCTGAATAGGAGGATGATAAACTGTTTTCTATATGTTAGTAGTCATTATATCAAGGCTCCTGATTATACAGGTTGTCAGTCTAAATAAGATGTTGGTTTCTGTTGAAATAATATCACATTATCAAGGTTTCTGCTCAGAGAGTTTGTCATTCTAAGAAAATAATTGCTTTCTAAAATGGTCATAGTATTGAGGTTCTTCATCAGAGAGATTGTCACTATAGACAGGTAATTGTTTCTTTTTAAAATATAAGCAGGTACAGTACTAGGGTTCCCATTAAGAGAGAATGTCAATCTTGGCAGATTATTGTTTTCTGACATTGATGCAGGTTTAATGGTTGAAATATTGAATTTAGGAAATCGATAAAAGAAAAGCAGTCAATACTTGCAGCTTCCATTATTGAATGTTTGATCTTGACTGTTATTGAATGTTTGATCTTGACTGTTATTGAATGTTTGATCTTGACTTATTGAATATTTGATCTTGACTTATTGAATGTTTGATCTTGACTGTTATTGAATGTTTGATCTTGACTGTTATTGAATGTTTGATCTTGACTGTTATTGCCATTTTACTTTTAAATTCAGTTTGTTAAACCCTAAAATGATGTTTGAACATGTCTGTGATCAGAAAACAAATAAAGAAATGTATAATGTTGGTGCTGTATATATAGTGTTGGTGCTGTAATTACATTTAAGTTTTTCTCGATGCTGTGTTCTAGTGCTTCTGGTTCAGCACAGTGCTGTACAGTTCAGCACAGACTTTTTCGGTCTAGTGTGCTGTAATGCTTTAGATCAGATCTGTGCTTTTGTATTTCGTTCAATTTTAGTCGAACGCTCGAGTTGTACAGTTTTTGGGTCACTGCTGTCATATTTTTCGTTGTTCAGGTCTGTTCTGTTTTCGGTCTGGTCGGTATTTCCACTGTGATTGCAGTGTGGGAGTCGGATCAATCGGTCTCGGCTGTACTCTTCACAGATCAGAGATAAAACAACACAGACCAATGCCTTTGTGAACTTAAACGCTAACCTTTTGTTTGTAGTACACACCAAAACTGCCACAATTCTGCATCTCCAGGGCAAGCTGTAGATTCAAGGTATACCTGATTAAGTCTGAAATTACCGTAATCAAACTCAGAAGCTGTTGGAATTTGTGAACAATTACACTGCCACTGTATCTGCAGTGTTTTGATAAATGTCATTTAGAAGGTTCTAATTTAGCTGCTCAGGTATGGCGGTGATCAATACTGGAACGCCTGTAGCCACGCGAAGGTGAGGCTGTACATTCAGACCACGGTGACACACCCACATTTAACCCCAGGCACACTGGCGGTTGGTCGGTAATGGATGGGGTTGTCACTCGGAGCTACCGGCTCTCCAATGCTAGGACCAAACAAGGCAGTGATTTATACAGAAAAAAGCGGAGTGTACAGCCCGGGAGCTGCAGATGTATGGTATGTTACTGGTTTATGATGGGAAAGTGTCCATTCCTCATTGCACACAATTACAGTGTACTGTCCGAAAACACTATGATGTTGACAAGTAAAATACATACAAACAAGATATAGGACACAACTATGCTGGGGTTAGTCTCTGATGTGGAGAGGTGAGGTAAGGGGCAATAGGGGGAATAGGGACAAACGGTAGGCAGAGAAAAGGGGAAGGGGGCAAGTGGGAGAATATGGGAAAAGTGATAGGGTACGGGGAGAATTGGGGCAAATGGGGGTTTATGGGACAGGGGCTATTACCGTGGGGACGAATAGGAGAGTGGGGACAGATGTTAAGGTAGGGAGAGAAGTGGGGCTTATGGTACAGGGGATAGGGTAGGGAGAGAGGAAGGGTAAGTCGGGGAATATGGGGCAAGGAAAGAAGATGGTAAGTGCTGTAATAAAAGGAAGAGTTAAGGGCAGGCAGAAATGATGGAAAGTTTGAGAATAGGGTGCAAAGGGAATGACGGGGGCGAATAAGGGGCAATCCTGGAAATAGTTAAGTGACAGAAAATGGGGTGAGAGTAGATGAAGATAAAGGGCAAGTGGGGGAATTTAAGTTGAGGAGAGGGCAGGGGATATGGAGGGGAGTTAAGGGATGGGGATCCAGATGGGAATAGAAAGAAAAACGTTCAAAAGAGTTAAGAGAAAGAGATGGATCAAAATGGGAAATTAGGGATCAATGGAGGGGGGGACCTTAGGTGAGTGGGAGAGAATGTTGGAAATAAAAGATTTAGGGAGATAAGAAGCTGATGAGGGGCAGAGATGGAAGGGGTACAAAAAAGCAGAGATGAAGAGAAATGGGGTAGGAAATGGCAGAAATGAAGGGGAAAGGGATAGAAAATGACAGAGATGAATGGGGCGGTAGGAAATAGCAGAGATGGAGGAAAGGGGTAGGAAATGGCAGAGATGAAGGGGAAAGGGGTAGGAAATAGCATAGATGAAGTGGAAAAGGGTAGGAAATGGCAGAAATGAAGGGGAAAGGGATAGAAAATGGCGGAGATGAAGGGGAAAGGGGTAGGAAATGGCACAGATGAAGGGGAAATGGGTAGGAAATGGCAGAGATGAAGGGGAAAGGGGAAGGAAATGGCAGAGACGAAGGGGAGAGAGATAGGAAATGGCAAAGATGAAGGGGAAAGTGGTAGGAAACAGCAGAGATAAAGGGAAAAGGGGTAGGAAATGGCATAGATGAAGGGCAAATGAAGGGGAAAAGGGGGAAAAACAGATGCTGCGGGAGGAGTACGGAAGGGCAGAGATGAAAGGGGAGGGGAAGGGCAGAAATGAAGGGCAGAGATGAAGGAGAATGTGGAAACAACAGGTTAAGAGAGATATGAAGGGCAGGTGAGGGGCAGTTTGTAGATCACTGGGTTTACATAGGGAGGGAGGAAGACAGGGAGGGGAGAAACAGAAAGGGGGAACAGGGAGGGGAGAAAGACAGGGAGAGGAAGAAGACAGAGGGGAACAGACTAGGTTTGGCCATTTGATATTTACAACCATATTATACCCACTTACATAAAGTGCAAGGTTGTTGTGTGTGCCAGTGAGTTCTGTATTGTTAGTGTCAGTACAAAGGTTGTTTGGTAGGATACACTGATACGAAGCCCCGGTAGTACCGTGATGGAGGTCAGTGTACCAGTTCCCACTGCCGCACCATTACAGCTGACGTAAACCAGTAACGTGATACCACGGGGCGTAGACAGGGAGTGGCCTGGTGGGCAGGGCTTCTATTGATGACACAGCAGACCTGTGTGTGCGTGATTGCAGTGGGGGTGACAGCCTTTGATGGATTGCCAGCCACAGTAGCTTCAAACTAAAAGTGGGGAGTGACTTGGATGTCAGAATAAAAAATGTAAACCAGTATGGGGGGGAAGACTGGCTAAAACTGTGAAATAGAAAGAAAAAAAACCACTTGCGTCACGTAATGTTAGGTGTTGTTGGTTAATTTGCGTGGTAAGTGTGTTTGTGTGTCAGGGCCTATGTGTGGAGCAACGTAGGGGTGTGTTTGTGTGTGTGTACTACAGAAACTGCCACCATCACACATAAAACTGTACATACAGCCTGGGGTCATCTCACGAACCACACCTACTGGACAGCAGGCTGTCGCTCCTTACCGGTCTATAGATTACACACACCAGGTGACACAAACTGACCAGTGCATGGATGGACTGACCAGGGGCTAGGGTACAGAGTTCCATCGGCTACTTCGAGTGTAAATATGCCTATAATCAGATTTCTGTTGCTGTGACTTAAGTGTGAATGACCACAGTTCTTCACCTGCTCTAGATCAAGAGATGGTTAGTAAGTGGTCAACTGAGGCTATTTTAGTGTTTTTTAACAAGTCAGTGACCAGTAGTAGTAAGAGATGTACACCTGTGGAGGGTAGGTGGTACTGGGGTAGGACAGGTGAGGTCACTACAGGTAGGTAATCGGACCATTATCTAGTGATAAGGGCAGACCAAGGTTGCTGGTTCGATTCACTGGATTTGAGCAGTTAACGGAAGATAGCGAGATAAAGAGATAGTCACTCCTGTTAGCCTTAGTTTATATAATTACTTTACATTGCCAGCGTCCGGGGGAACTATATACATTCACTCTACAACGGGATTTCCCAGGGGAGTGAACATTCTGTTTTACACACCAGGGGAGCCAACTTCACTTTCTAGGGAAGTCAACATCCCTGTAACTCCGCGAGGATTTTCTAGGAGGTGTTAAATTCTGGGACTGTCTCCACTGAGGATCACACTGTGCAGAAGGAAGTCGTAGGAAGTCTCAGTATGTGCTGTGATAACTGTGATATTTCTTGCTTTCTATCTGTATGTTATACTCCACAGAGGCCAGAATGGCTTCAATGCGGTGATTATTTAAAGATGAGATCAGATTTGGATTGATAACTTCTATGTAAGGTATATATATATATATGGGGACTTGTAAAACTTCATCGTGAATTTTTCAGCTGGTTTACGTTGTATTATTTGACCTTCAGTAATAGACCTTTTGTACTGTTAACGTGATGAAGTGGTTTTTAACGGGTGATAATGACACTGTATCATATCTGTCATTGTAGTAATGTCGTTACCAGCTAAATTGATTATAACAAGTAGCACTAATATACATGTTATATAATAAGTAATCTGATGAGTTACTTAATGATGAGTGAGCATATACAAAGCCCATATACTTACCTTCTCCCAAAATTATTATTTATTTATAATTTGAATATACAATATATACTTGTTTAAATAATCAAAACATTTAGTACAGTTTTATTATATCTATACTGAGGCAAAAGGATGAAAAAACATTGTTAGGTTTCCACTTATGGATCTTGAAAAAAAATGGTTTAAAAATAAACTAAGGGTAGGTTTTCAAAATAATTTTTTTGGCAAAATATTTACAATGGTTTTCAGATTTAAAAGTATCTGTTCCAAATCAACCTAATACATTTTGGTTGTCACTAAAACAGATTATTTTGGCTTGATAGATACAGAGGTTGTCACTAAAACACTGATTATTTTTCCCGATAGATACAGAAAAGCCCCTTATTATTTATGCAGCCATCACTAATCTCCTCGCCAAACTACACAGCCATTGGTTAATGGTTTTAGGGGACATATGTATATTTTCTCGTTGAAATAGTCTTGATAGTCCAGCTGTTCCAATAGACAAGTGTCTTTTTAATTTTGGGACGGTGGCTGGCCTTGAACTGATGTTGCTAGATATGACATATGATATATACCATTGATAGGGTAAAGATTCTGTATAAGATGTAGCATAAGTGTTTTTTTTTTTTTTTACTGAAACATTTTGTTTTAATTCTTAAGTCATTCTTCCGGAATTTGATTTATCCCTTTACGAAACCGCAGCTGTTGGAGCTCATAAGTTTGGTGCATAAGCGTTTAAATTGTTGTTTTGATCTCTAATCAGTTCTGAAGAAATGGTTCATCATGATGTATTAGCATAATAGTATTATGTTGTTGTTGATGATGACGATGATGTCGCAATCAAAAGGATCTGAGCTGTACAATCAGAATGTTGTTTTGTTATTTCTGAAACATTTTTGTGGTTGCCATGGTTTCATGAGATGAAGTGACAGAGTAGTAATAGTTACTTGTATTAAGCCAGAGTCTTAAACTTGGTAATCCTGAATAATTGGTAACCTGGAGATTTGATAAGTGATGAATTAGTTCATTGAAAATTATTTTCTGAGAAAAAAAAGTTTGCGAAAAAACATTCAAGTATGCTTGTGGATATTGTTAGTAAAAATCAAGGTCAACATTTATAATGATATACTTTATAACAAAAAAAAAATGAAAAAAAAAATTGCTGCTTGAACTATGCGGTCAACTCCAATCAAAAGTTTTTTAATCAAATTTATTTTTCTGTTTTAACAGCTGAGTAAAATGACAGAGGACAGTTCTCCAGTATTAAACAACTCCCGACACAACAACAATAATTCTACCCATGACGATTCAGTGCGGGATTCCGCAGAGAACTCTCCTGTGATGGAGGAAGATTCCTCCATGGAGGAGCCACCATTCAAAATCAAACGAAGGATAAAACGTGAAATAGACACAGGAATGTATGACTCCCCAATGACAATGTCAGGAATGTGTGTTGTGCCCACTAACTTTCAAATCAAACTTGAGGCTCCGAGCCCCGAGATGTCATCGTCAGACTTGAGCCCAGACTCACGGGGGTCTCCGTACTCCCGGCCCTCCTTGAGTTTGTCTCCCAACCACTCCCCGGTGATTGGGGAGGAGGGAGTGAGTGCATTCACCAAGACAGTGCCAAAAAATCAAACAGCCGAACAAAGACAACTATCGCTTATCAAACTAAGTCAGATACGATCAGCATTTTCCTCGCGACCATCAGGTGCCAGCGGACCAACATCGGTGGGACAAATGTTTGCCCTCAAAAAGAGGATTAAACAGGCTCAACTTAACGGTGATTTATCCCTTTCTAATCCCTCTCTGTCCCCCGTCAGTGGGGTGGAGTGTCTTCCTCAATCGCCAATCAAGGAGGAAAACGAGGACTCAAAGTCACCGCCACGGAGACCTGACGGCAAGGTGGGTACTTATATTCTGGTTGTCATAGTTACTATACATATATAGGCTATGGTTTAACATCTAATGTCAAGGTCACACAAGATTTAATACCAAAGTCATTTCATATAGTATTAAGGTCAATCAAGATAGTGTCAATTGAAATTGAAAATTGTACACCCCAGTATCAATACATGTCACCTTATGTATCAAGGTCACACCGGATTACATTTGACCTTGACAGCATTCTAAAGAAAGGGTCAAGGTTGCACAAGATAATGTTAAGGTCAAAGTAGATCATGTCAAGTTCGTTCATGTGAAATCTCAATGAAATGTCCCTTTTGTTATGTGCCACCTGGAGTTTGCTAACTGCCTACCAACTTCAGGGTTGTCTTTCTGTTCTTTCTTGACAATTCCTTTTATAAGTTTCCTTCAATATATTGCCAAACCTTTTTATAATGCCAAAAGTTTGCTTGACAAAAGATGACGGTGTATTAGAAAAAAAAACAGTTTGTAACGTCATGTTTTGTGACAAGAGAAATCTAGTGTTGCTTCTTATGGATATGAATCTTTTAATATCTTTTAATAAATATTTAGTACATGTACCAGGAAATAGGCTTCATGATGATGGTTTGACATACCAGGTACCCTGTCGCGATAAAACTGCTACAGATATACCAGCATGTCGTTCAAAGGTTTTCCCTAGCGGGAGTAAGCACTCGTGAATCCCGGAAAAGTAAGAACGTAAGAAGGGAAGGCAGATGTATGCATTGATTATAATTGGCTAGAATGGCCAGCGAACGTTAGCATCATCTTAATTAAAGCTGCCACTTTTAGATTTGTCGAAAGCAAAGCAATAAGTGATCCAAATGGGGCACCTGAGATCTGTTGCCCGTGGGTATATGTCACTAGGTGCATTGGCATCTTAAAGACCTGGAACGCTCCTTAAACTTACCGGAGTCCTATCCATTAGGACTAGGTTGTGTGCCTTCCTGTTTCCTTGGTAACAGGTTTTGTCTAGGGTCTTGAAATGTTGAGTAACTGAAAAGATTGTATTACAACTCTGGTACCCATGGACAAATTAAGGACATATATAAGGAATGACAGAGATTGGTATAAGTTTGAAAGTATGGCAGATAAGGGCAAATGTAGATTTTTCTTTTAACACCATGATAATTTGTAGTTCTAGGACTCAATTACTCAGGAAAGATTGATAGTGTAGAATACTTTAGCGATAAGTCTGGAGTGGATAATTGGTATGATATTTGAAAAAAAAATAAAAAAATCATGGGGATATTATTTGATCTTGGTAACCTTTCTTTTATTTGTTTGATTTTTCTGTCAAGAACTTCATCATTCCATTATTTTGATTATAATTACGGGCAAATTCATACAAATTAGCTATTTCTGAGAGAGAACTTTATCGGTCCAAATTGTCAACTAAATTATAATTAACTCGTTCACCCCTGAAATTTCATAGTGAACTATTTTAATTGAAAGAGTTCAAATGTATCCTCAGGGGTGAATGGGTTAAGAAAATATGTCCCCAAGTTAAAGGTTTATGCTTGTTGATATATATGGTAAGGTGAATAACTCTAACGAAGAAACTTTATCATGTTGTAAATATTGATGTCAGGAGATTGATGTACTTATGTTTTTTAAAGAAAATGGAAAAAGTTTGTAAAATAATATGTTTGGACTTATTAATGTTAAAAGTGCATTCCAATACCTCATAATTGTAGGTACGTGTTGACATTTTACCATATATATATGTACTTATTCTGTAAAAGAGCTGATGCTTGAAATAATATTCATTAAATTTTGGACAAGGGTATTATTTTACAGCTGTCTTACACCGAACAGGAGTGACTGATATTCCATATTGCCGATGTACCCTTTTAATTATAGCTATAGCACCCCCATTTAAAGTCTTACATGTAAAAGGATAATGGTGAAACCATTGTAAAACCTAAAAATGATTTATTGCATTTGTCAGCCACTTGGAGGTATATCCCCGCTAACCCCAGCCCCACCCCATCACAACCACAAACACACCTAGGCCACTTAGGGGCTGAAACATTCTTCCTTAGGGTCATTCAGGATAAATGATTCTTTCTGTCTGCCTGATTTTCAAGTCACATGCACCGAGCTACTAATTCTTCGTAGTATTACCTAAATGGTATATAGAGGTAAACATCTGCACTATCTGCCCCATATACATTGCTTCGGAGCTTGGGGTTAAATATTTAACTCTCGGGGGTAACAAGGGGTAGAAAGTCTATATCCCCATTCTGGAGGTGCAAGTTTAGGGTTATTTTGGGACTAGATTCCCTTGAATCGCCCCCAAATATTACTTGGGGGTAACCAGACAAATTTTATGTCCATTAAAACGGAAGGTGTCAGCCAGTACAGACACACCCTCGTTCTGTACTTACTAGTCTCCGCACCAGATCCTGGTGACATACCATTGGTACAATGCACACCCTCGACAGCTTCCGAGGTAAACAAGTCCCTGTCATTGTCCTGTGTGTAAATGGAGAGGACACTTTAAAAAGGAAATGGTAGCCAGGGTTATCGTGGGCTCTATACAAGTTGTTGCTCTGAATGTAAATGTGTATGGGCCGCTCCCCTTCCCCAAGGGGGTCACCTACACTAGCCCTTATATAGCATGTTTACAAATCAGTGGCCGCTTCCTTTGGTAATTTGCCAAATAAATCTGCATCTGTGTGTGATACCCAGAGTAGTGCTATATCTCTCCATCACTTTATCTGTCCGTCTGTCACTGTCTTTTTTTCTTTCTAGTGCTCTCTCTCTCCCTCTCCCTCCCTCTCTCTCTCTTTCTCTCTCTCTCTGTTTACTTCTACAAATTGGCTTTGATCAACAAATTTGTTTATTTATGCACGGTAAGAGGAACACCTATATCTTCAACTGGGATTAAAATTCTTTCAAGATCATTTTACACAAACAGAGTAGGGAAGCTACAGGTATAAGTGCTGACTCTCTTTAAACATTTGCTCTACCGTACATATCCTTACTCAGAACAAATTGCGAGGAGGGTTTTACTTAGTTCTCAAATGTCCTCTCTTAAAATCGGCAAAGAAATTATACCACTATAGCGTAACCTAGAGCTTAACATATTTTTCAAGACAAATTTATTACATACTGGTAAATAAGTAAGAATGTGTACCCTGGCTCTCAGAATGTCTGCCACTATATATGTAGTGCCATGATCTTTTAAAGACGTTTGTTTTTACACGACACTTCACAAAAATAAGGATCAGATACACCCAAACGTCCAAAGGTCAACCAGAACATAATAATTGCTACATAAACCTATCTCTGCCACTTGCCAACACTCAACCACGCCGTCATGGTTAGCAAAGTACATATACGTACCAAGGTCTCAAGGTAAAACGTTGCACCTGAGTTTCCAGGTAAAGCGTCGATCAGGTGTACAGCTAGATACCCCCTGCGTGGACCACTCCCCTTTACAAGGTGACATACCCAACCGAAAACACAGGTGACACTTTAAGTACTAATAAATGTCCAGCTCTGCGATGGCGCATGGCTGGTCATCTTTGACCGGAGGGGTCAGACTGGTGTGGAATGTGGACGACTTGCCCAGAAAAACAAGTACAAAGAAAAAAACATGTACATATTCTATGAGAAAGTAGAAAAAAAAGTGTCTTTGTTTTATTGCGACTTTTGACTCAATAATATTTATGATGTTTTAAGAGAATTCTTTCAATCTTATAAATCCATGATTTTTTTTAAAGTTTGTAAATTTTACAGTACTGGGTGCATTATATGAAAAGGTCATACTGTCGATGAGTTTTAATGTTTTAGCATTTGTTAGTGTGTTAATGCTAAGTCTTATTCAAATAGGAGAGATTTAAATGGTGATTTTTTTTCGGAGTATGATTCATGTCGATCTGGGGGGTATACACCGCTAGGCTATCCTGATCACTTATAGGTGGCTACATTTATTTATTGAATATGTTAAGTCGATATAAGTGGCATAGGGAATTTTAAAGTATATACATATCTATGAAACATAAACATTGTTTTATTTCTATGTCATGAAATTGATGAGTGTTATATATTTCTTTACAGAGGTTTAGATCGTGTTTATTGACACATCAGACATAGGGAATTTAAAAGTATATATACTCTTATAGTTCCACCTAACATCTTAAAACGTAAACAATGTTTTATTTCTACGACATTAAATTGACGAGTATTGCATATTTCTTTACGGAGTTTTAGACTGTGTTTATTGATACATCGCTACGTACGTATTTGTTATACCTTGCACACAGCTATATAAACATGCATAAAAACTGAGTTTGAAGTGGTTCACAAGTTTGCATGTTTTAACATTAGTGACGGGTGTTTTTCCCACATATATAAATGCTCAGAAATGAGTTTTATCTTTCTCCTAACACATGGAACCGATTCGTTCTCAACATGAAGGTCGCAACCTTTTACAGCTAGCAGTAACCGTCTCAATGTTAGTTTAGTGCACAGTCGGGGAAAGGATAAGGGGTCATTTCTAAATCTGCATGTATTACGATTCACGATAGAAATTAAACAATGTACACAACCTCTTACGGGCCTCCAGACGCTATCTCTTCTTAGGTTGATAAAACTGTATCAACCTTATCAAAAGTCTATAATTGTATATTATTACATTTTATGTCGAAACCTGTCTAAACTGATTAACTTCTGACAAAAGTTTGTTTTTAGGGGGGTGGTTAGAGTACACAGGTTTTATTTTACGTGGAAATTTTATTGGTGTTTATAAAGCTGTGTAAAGAAATGAAAATTCAGAAAAATATTCCACCTGTCTTAAATGATATTGTATATGGCTATTTGTGATGTTCTATCTAAATATGGTGTTATGTTTTAAGTTTGTTTATAATCCAAACAGAACAAAAATGACTGTTATAGCGAGCATAAGTCATATATTATGTCAGACAAGGGGTAATGGTATATCCCTTGTGTTATTTGCCTTTTTTTTCTCT